GGAATGGAGCCCTCAACCCCAGGCATATGCCCTGCCTGGGAATCAAGCCTTAACCTCCTGGTCCATAGGTCTGTGCTCAACCACTGAGTTATCCTGGCTGGGCGAGAAGCGTAGGACTTTTATTCCTCACTATATGAGCCTCATATATCAGAAAGATATTCAGGAAGGCTGAATTCCAGGTGAATGACTTGCAACAAAAAGAAACTAACTTGGAATGCTGGCAATAAACCCCAAGTCATTTTCTCTCGGCTCTAATACAGGAATCTCAAGGAGGAGCATGCATGCTAAAAGCATCTCTCTTCATGTGCCAGACACCCAGCTCCCATCCTGCTACTTGGGATCCAGGCAGTCGGTACCCAGCCCTGTGGGCAGTACAGCTTCCCTCTACAAGAGGGTGGGAATGACTTGTTTAGAATCCAGTCACACAACTGCTTTAAAAGCTTTCTTCTGGGACCAAGTAGGAGGCGGTATGGCATGTTTCTTTTGGTGAATTTCAGTAGTTGAGACAGGTAAGATATTTCTACTATAATGCCGGGCCCGCCACCCCTGATGTGTAGTTCTCAACTTTCAGAATCTCTCTGGCTACTTAGCCGCCATCATCACCTTACCATTTGGTGGGGGAGCCAGACCATAAGTGCATATCCAAACTTCTGATGTTCTTTGTAGCAAAGGTGGGGGAGATTTATTTTCCCCAAGCTTTGAGCTTGAAAAGCTCCCTGACAGAAAAAATGAGATGGCCATCTAGCTTTGCACCTAGCTTTGTATAAAGAGTGCCAAAGCGAGCGTTTATAGACTCCCGTCTGTGAAAACACCGGTGGCCAACCGTGCGATGTTAAAGGGACTCCTCTTTCTGAGCGGAGCCAGGGAGGCGGGCTGGCGCTCAGGTTCCGAGAGGAAGACCTCAGAGTGTTCCGGACCACAGGTACTCCGGCCCCTCCCTGTAGTTCCTGTGCTGCTCCTGGCTGTCTCTGTAGAGCTTCTGTTCCCGGTAGCTCCGGAGGGCCAGCACCACGCTGACTCCGTACATGATCACCAGGAGGCAAGCAAAGGTGGCGGCTGCCCCGTCCGTGCCCGCCAGCTGGCAGTTCATCCAGGTGAGGCCCTTGCGGGCGTAGAGCCTCTCTCTCCTCTTGCACGTGTCCGTGGCGTTGATCCGCAGGGCCACGTGGAGGAAGACGCCGATGCCCGCGCAGTAGCCCACGGCGGCCAGGAGGCTGAAGGCGGCCTCCAGGACGAGCCACCTCCGTGGCAGTTTGGCGAGACTCTTGGCCCCTTGGAGTAACACCCCCATGGTGAGGACGCCCAGCCCCAGGGCCACCGCCACGCCGCCGTAGATGAGGGGCGCCCGGAGGACGGTGTACTGCTGGTCCAGCTGCCGGACCTGCTCCAGCTCCGTGCCCTCAAACGGTGAGTAGTAGTTGTTGCCGAAGCCGCCGCCGCTGGCGAAGCTGGCGCTGAACCCAGCCAGGACGAAGTAGGAGGCCACGACGCACATGAGAACCATCCCGTTGAGGAGCACCTCCACTATCTGCACCACACCTGGGGGGAGAGAGAGGCGGGATTTAACACGGACGTCAGGCACCCAGGAAACTTCTCTAGGTCAGGCCGGAGACTTGGCTTGAAGGACATGGTCAGGGGCAACATGAACAGCCTTGGATTGTGTTTCCAACATGCATATGTTTGAAAGAGCAAAGTGGCACTCTGGAAAAACTTTTGGCAGCTTACCAAAAAAAAACAAACAAAGAAAACCTACACTTACCATGTGACCCTGGAACTCTACTCCTGGGTTCTTACCCTAAAGAAATGAAAACAGGTGTACACAAAGCACGGGTACAGGGATGTTCACAGTAGCTTTATTTGTAATAGCCAAATATCCGAAACAACCCAATGCCCTTCAATGGGCGAGTGGTTAAACAATCTGACACACCCTTACAGAGGAATAATCCACAATAAAAAGAAACAAACTGTTCACAAGGCAACAAGGTGGATGGGTCTCAAGAGAATTATGACGAGCTGGGGGGTGGGAGGTGGGGGGAAGCCAGTCTCAAAAGGTTACATACTGCATGACTCCATTTATGTGATAGTCTCAACATGACGAAATGATAGAGATGGAGAACAACACCGCTGTGGTGGTTGGGGCATAGGGACGAGTGGGAGTGGGGAGGGGGAAAGGGAGGCGTGTGACTATTAGGGGGGAACACAGGGGATGATGGGACATTCTATACTTGATTATGATGGTGGTCACACGAGTCTATACGTGATAAAACTGCATGGGACTACACACAAAGACATGAGTGCGTGTAATACGGGTGACCTCTAGGCTTTGTAGAGTTGTGATATTATACTATAGTTATGCAAGATGTTTCCATTGGAGGAATCTGGGATTAGGGTACATAGGATCTCTACTATTTTTTGCAATTTTGTTTTGTTAATCTCACTGGAGGATATTTTCTCTACTGGTTTTCAGAGAGAGAGGAGGGGAGAGAGAGAGAAATATCGATGATGTGAGACAGACTGAGAAAAGTCACTTGTGTCCCTGTCACCTCTGTTCTCTTCCCCAGGCCACCTTCACGATTTTCTAATACAACTCACAGCGTTCCCTCGTGCAAATAAAAACACACTCAAATCAGCCTTCCATCCCTCTTTCCAGGCTTTCACGAGGAAGCACACCCCATCTACTGTTCTGCATCTCGCTTTTTTCATTTATTCTTCCCAGAGATGTTTTCTGGTCAGCTCCCACAGAGTTCTCTTTGTATGGCCTCCAACCGCACTGGGTAGATGATATACCAGTCTATTCAGGATTCTACTGGTGGACACTGAGGCCGTTTCCTTGGGGGCTTCTTGCAAGTTTAAGGAACCTACACAGGCCAGGAGACAGCAGGTGCCAACCGGTGAAAGGAGATGAAAGTCTACTTGTCAGCGGTCAGCTCTCATGTGTCTTCTTCCTGCAGGCAGAAGGTCTCCTGCCATCCTCTCAGGGTTCAGACAGCGAACTAAGAGAAAAGCATGTGACCCTGGAGTGGGGACGCCAGGTTCACGTCCCTGCTCTTGACCGCCTGTGACCTTGGCCCGAGTCACCGTCTAGTAGCCTCGGACACTTCACCTCAACAATTCAGATAACGCCTGCCTGTCCTCCCACGTGGAAGCAAGTCCATGAAAATACTCGGAAAATCATGAAACGTTCTGCACATGGGTGGTGATGCGCCTCAGGAACGTCTATAAAGCGGAAGGGGCTTAGAGACTTAGGAATAGGAGAATGTATGAGAAGCGTGGCTTCTCAGAAGTCAGGAACACCCTCTGATCTGCTAGGCGTACCACGCCGTTTCTGAACCACTTGGCTGCAGACCAGTAGTCCGTAGGCAACAGCTCCTGGGCTTGCTGATCCTCTCTCCTGCGGGACCTACACGAATTCCTAGGGGGCTCACGGGACACAGCAGCAGTCAAGGGCCCCGACAGTTAAAGCGGACTGGTCGTTTCCCATTACACAGTGTTTTTTCAAAGTATCGTACTTTAAAAAAGATATTAGCTTGTAAGAACATGTACTAAATGACTTCAAAAGGCAATGGGTGTGTTTAATTTTAAAGCGTGCCTTAAAACATTTGTGTAAAAACGTTTTTTTGTACTCGTTCAATACAAACCTATCTGGACACTGGGTAGAGCCAGCAATAAAACTACTGGTCCACAATGTGTTAAGAAGCTACATTCCTCCGATTTAAATCTGAGAATAACATCAGGCCAGCACTGCCCCCTCTCCACCCCGACACTGAAGCTACTGGCCACACTCCCTCCAGCGGCGCCTGTGAGCCGACCCAGACATCAACCTAATTCCCGGGGCGCAAGTCCCCCTCCCCTGCTCTCTGCCTTGGTTTTCCTTCTGTATACATGGCAGTATCTCACCCGCCATGGAGAAACAGGACCACTGCCCTACTCCCAAGAATGTGGGCACCTGCACGTTCCCTTCTGGGACAGATGCTGTTCAAACAGTGGACTCGTGACCCATGCAGCAAACACCTGCGAGGCCGAAACGGAACAGATTTACATCTCGTCGACCAACCCACGGACGGCAACCATCTGCTGAAGGCATCTGGTCACTGGCTATTGTCACAGCACCAGCCAGACAACCTGGCTTAGCTACAGGATCAAACAGGCCCAGGGATTCCCAGTGCTGTTAGTGCAGAGTCACAGACGCCAGGAGGAAATGGGTGAGCAGAGCTGGCAGTTGTCTCTGGTGAGACGGAGCACGTTGCTAGGACGGCGGAGGGTTCTGTAGAGGGAAGTGGAGACTCCGAACATGAGGTTTTTATGGTAAGCAGTGGCTTCCTCACTGAGGCTGCCTTGTGGCCGATCAATTAATACTCTGCCTAATTACACTGAGTGGCCAGATTATTATGATCGCTGAACGCATAATAATTTGTCCACTAGGTGTATAGATAATAAAAGGCTAATATGCAAATTATTCCCTTGACCAGGAGTTTGACCAGAAGGTAGGCTGGCCAACCGCCCATGTCCCCTCCCCCTGGCCAGGCTGGCCGGACCCCACCCATGCACAAATTCATGCACCAGGCCCCATATATATATATATATATATATATATGTGTGTGTGTGTGTGTGTGTGTGTGTGTGTGTGTGTGTGTGTGTGTGTATATATATATATATATATATATATATATATATATGAATAATCTGGCCACTCAGTGTATACACCCACTTCTGCCTTTGCACTGCAAATGTGAACACACTGAGGAGAGCAGGCCAAGTATTTATCTAAGCCATGTAGTAAATGAAAAAAAAAAAAGTTTAAATTTCCTTTTCTCCAGGAACAAATGTTGCTCATGCTGTCTTGTGCATTCTCCAATAAATTTTCTAATCACACACAAGCATATAGATATACTTATTTCCTTTTCTAAACCCAAATGGAACTACCTCTTAAATATGATGTTGCCTATATTTAAGGGACTATTATATGTGTATTTATAAAGAGAACCATCACCTCTAAATATAAAAATTCTTTGGATTTTTTTTTATTAGATTCAAATAAAGCAAATGACATATTCAGTTGCACCAAGAATATATTGTCGTGTTCTAGAAGTCATCATTTAACATGTAATAAGAACCCAGGAGGTCGCCTGGCCATAAGTAGCAGTCTTCTTTTGAGGAAAAGTTTACATTCTTTAATTCTGCATGGATCCTGAAATTCCAGATGCCGGGTCCTAGTCCCCGTACAATGGCACATTTGTAAGAGGTACAAAACACTTATTGAGCTTTCAGAGCCGCGGTAAGGGGCTTTGGAGAATAGCTTCTTTGCAGCGAATTAATCTGATTCCTGCTTCCTCAGCCCACGCCTAGCTCCAACTTAAACTTCACAGGAGCCTCCTAGCAATCCCAGCCCCGCACCCAGAGCGTGAAGGGAGTGAAGTCTGTGGAGTTCAGCGTGGAAAACACGGGGGCCGGTCTGCTGAAGACAGCCATGCCTGGACACGTTCAGGCGGACATGTCTTGTGTCTGTGCGGCCTCTCTTGAACACTGAAGGTAAGATTCTTCAAATGCACTCGTTACCTCCCTTTATTTCATCAAGAAGTGCACGTCGCTGCAGCCCATGCTTTTCTTGGGGACGGGGTCTCGGGCTCCAGGTTTTGTTTGAAAAAGAATTTTGGTTAGTCCCTCACCAACGGAGGACTGAACCAGGCTTAGGACGTCAGAGAACAACCCGAGCTGCGCCCAGAATGCCGGACTTGGCCCGTTCCTTTTCAAGCCTTGGTAAGTTCTGCAGCACGGTCCCGGGAAGACCACGATTCGGAAGAACTCGCTTCCCCTTACATCTGGCAGAACGTTTGTAAAAGCCTAAAAGCCTAACATCTCTGCAGGCTTCTCCTGGAGCTTCCTGACCTTGCGGTAACCCCTGAAGGCCAGCACGGCCCCCACGGCGAAGACCCCGATGCCCAGGGCGGCGAAGATGCCCGCGCCCACATCTCCCCCGTGGAAGGTGCAGCTGAAGCCGCGGTAGCCTTTGCTCTCGTACAGCGCCTCCCGCTCCCGGCACACGGGAGAGGCGTAGGCTGCCGACAGCGCGTGGAAGTAAAAGTACAGGGCGGGCACGTACGCCCCGGCGATGAGCACGTCCAGCGAGCCTTCGAGCAGCAGCCACGGCGGGAAATGCCACGGGACCCGCAGGGCACCCAGGACGACGAGGAGGCAGCAGAAGGCCGTGAGGGCTCCGCCGTAGGCCATGGCCGCCCTGACCGTGGGCAGCTTGAGCTGGTAGAACTGGATGTCCAGCTGCTGCGCTCTCTCCCCGTCAGCACCATCGAAACCGCTGTAAGCCCCGCCGAACTGGTAATAGTAAATGCCCCCCAGGCTGGCGATGCCCGTGTAGCCCCCCGTGGAGCTGTAAGACACAGAGCTGCAGGCCAGGATCAGCAAGTTCAGGAGAACCTCCAGCATTTGGCAGCAGGCTGCAAAAGAAGGGCGCGTTACCATTCTGAGATGCGGTCCTGCCCGCGGAGATGCCCAGCGTGAGGCTGGCTTCCCTGGGGCAGCGCCAGTCACAGCTGGCTTTTTTTTTTTTTTTAAGATTTTATTTTTAGCTTTAGCTGGTTTGGTTCAGTGGATAGAGCATTGGCCTGCAGACTGAAGGGTCCAGGGTTACCATTATGATCAGGACACATGGCCAGGTTGCAGCCTGATCCCCAGTAGGGGGCATGCAGGAGGCAGCCAATCAATGAGTCTCTCTCATCATTGATGTTTCTCTCTCTCTCTCTCCCTCTCTTTCTCTCTGAAATCAATGAAAAAGTATTAAAAAGATATTTTTAATTTTTATAGAGAGAAAGGGAGAGGGAGGGACATGGATATGAGTGACACACCGATCAGCTTCCTCCTGCATGACCCATACCAGGGATGGAGCCCACAGAGGGGCACGTATCCTGACAAGGAATCTAACCGGCAACACATTGGTGCCTGGGATGACCCCCAGCCAACTGAGCCACGCCGGCCAGGGCCACAGCTGGCTCTTTTCTCTGCCTGAACAGCCAAAGCTGCAGGAGATGGCAGCCGGGAACTGTGGTCTGCAGAGATACTTCGGACTGGAAAGAGGAACTCTCCAGGAGGGCAAAGCAGCCTGCCCCAGGTGGGGCGGAGACGATGGTGGAGAAAGCAGGCCCGTGAGCTGAAAGGAAGGCATTCTCTACGGAAGGCAAGAACTGGCTCTGCACCGGCCCTTCCCTGCCAGAAGGACGGAAACGGGCTCAGAACAAAGCAAGATGTAAAGGGAAGCGAGTCCTTCTGAATCGTGGTCTTCCCGGGACCGTGCTGTGGGACTTGCCAAGGCTTGCCAAGGAACGGGCCAACCCTGGCATGCTGGGCGCGGCTCGGGCCGCACGGGCTGCGGTTTGACGCCCTAAGCCAGGTTCAGTCCTCCGTTGGTGAGGGACTAACCAGAATTCTTTTTAAAACAAAAGCTGGAGCCCGGAAGCTCGGGGGGCGGGGGGGAGGACCCCCGCACAGCTGCCCCGCCCCCCACTTCCGCCACTTTGCTGGAGGAAGGAGGGCATGATTTTGTCGACAAGGAAAAGCAATCATAAAAGATGGATGCTAAGATGGGTGACCTTCCTCCAGGCATGCATTTCCTGCTCGAGCAAGATCAGTTCCTGGTGTTTAGTGGCTGGTTCTCCCAACGCAACACTGTACTCTGTACACTTCTTACGGGCCTCTGCGTGGACGGAGACCTCTATAAGCCCTCATTTGTGAGCTCCTGGTTGGTGAATCATCCTTTCACTCTCTTGACTCAGAAACCCAACCTCTAGGCCGAAAGCCAAACAGCCAGAAGCAATCAAAGGTAGTAAATCAGGGTGTGCTCTGGTCAGGAGCCTTACGCTCTGCCCTCTCCTCTTGGTAAGTCAACCACAGAAGAAAACACAACTCTACAGAGAAACCTGTTCGCCAGCCTGGCTTACTCCTGTTATTTATATCACCCAGGAAAGAAAGAAGGCCCAGCAAGGAGACCATTTCAGGCCTTCAGCGTCAGGCTCTAAGTTCCCATTCCAGCTCTTTCGCTTAACAGCTGTGTGGCTCTGGGGGCAACGTACTGGGTCTCTCTGAGCCTCCGCAGAGAGAATTGTTGTTGAGAGAATGGAAAGCAATGAGGTTGTGCCAACGTGTGTAAACTGCAGCGAGGATTCTTGTTCTAGGATTGTCCAGAGCTCCTCCGGGAAAGTTCCGTCTAATCCTATAATCATGTATATATCCTTGTAATCACCCTAAAATACATTTCTGGGTGTAAGTTGCATGACCCCTCTCCCTCAGGCTGAGAAATTGCAATTCACCCCCTCCCCCCTCCCCCCGACAATTTACTCATCTGCAGCCCAGGAGAATGCCTCAGCCAGTCATGTGAGCCATCAGGGATCACCCTGGCAAACCAGATTTCCTTCTTTGCTGGCAAGGCCAGGCCACCACGGGCACGGGAACTCTGGGAAACCAGCTGGCACACGATATTAATTAACTGTTCCTTCAAACTCTGGGTGCTAATAAGTGTGTTTTTTGTTTATTTTTATGGAACAGAATAGAAATTACTCATGCACTTAGTGTATTGTTTCACGGTGTGTGTGTGTGTGTGTGTGTGTGTGTGTGTGTGTTTACCTGGTCTGAATGTAAAAATAACGTTTCTTACTGTGAGTCTCAGCCAAGTGTAAAGCCACATGGAGTTTGGGCATCAGATCTCTGATGAGCTGCAACCCAGCTGCTCCCTGCAGGTGACTGCTCTACCTCAGCTCCCTGACAGCTGGCAGCTCAGAGCTGGCTCTGCCCGCAGACCCTGCCATCCACCTGGAGCTTAAAAACTGCAGACATGGCCTCAGCAGACCCCCGGGGAGCCTCTGAGGAGAGGCTTGGGACGTCGAGCTGCACCTTTCAGGCATTTCTACTGTGGTGTTTTTTTTTTGTTGTTGTTGTTGTTTTTTTGTTGTTGTTTTTTTAGAAAACGAGAACCTCATGCAGGAATGGGAACGAAAAATGCTAGGAACCCAATTCGGCTTGAACTTCTGCATTACCAGGCCGGACCCTTCCGGAACCACCCGCGACAGTGAACGGCCAACCTGCCTCCCCGATGGCTCACCTCTCCCCGTGCACAAGTATTTGCATTTGTGGCAGTCCAGGAGTCCTTCAGCCTCTGACTGGTAGTATTCCACATCCTCCCGTGCAGGCCTCGGGTTCGAGGGCAGATACAGCCCCGAAGTGGGTTCACTGTAACTAAAAACATACACAGCCATTAGTGGTGTGTGTGTGTGTGTGTGTGTCTCGATTTCAATAGCTTGTTCAGTATTAGAACTCCGGACACCTCAGGCTGGGCCCAGACATCAAACCACGAGCAGCACAGAAACAAAATCTGCCTGAGTATTTCAACACTGCAGGGAATTCTCTGGTTCGGGGACCCCAGTGGGCATCCACTCTGCTCATTAACACCCTTCCCCTCCCTCCCCCCATTCCTTATCCCTGGATGTCCTCTGCTAACGACCTCCAGCCTTCGATGCTGGTTGGTCAGCCGGGGGGCGCCTTCCCAAGCTTCTCAGTCCAGCATGGACCAGGCCACTTCAACACTAGCTTGGCCTTCCCAAGACTCTGATGCCCGGCCTGGGGATAGGACTCTGATGTGTAAGGCAAGCGGAAGCATGGCTCTGTCAGTTCCCAAGTCATACAGTTGCAATCAGGGAAATTTATCAGGAAACAATAGCCGGTGCCTGGGACTCTATCTGGGCACACCTTTGGTCATTGTTCCGCTAGTTGGTTTTAGATAACGTCCTGCGACCTCGGGATAGCAGCTTTCCCGCTATGTGAACACAACAGGTCATCGCTGCAGGTCCTGTGTGCTTCCCTGTTGGACTGGCAGGCACCCTGGGCATCGGTGGATTTGCATGGGATGTGCTGGGGTCTAGGACCTCCTCCTGTCCTCCCTCCCATTCCCGCCCTCTCCCAGCTCACAGGCTCCCAGCACCGTGGTCCGCAAACTGTGGCTCACGAGCCACATGCTGCTCTTTGGCCCTTTGAGTGTAGCTCTTCCACGAAATACCACAGCCTGGGCCAGTCTATTTTGAAGAAGTGGCGTTAGAAGAAGTTTAAGTTTTAAAAAAACTTGGCTCTCAAAAGAAATGCCAATCGTTGTCCTGTTGATATCTGGCTCAGTTGACTAATGTGTTTGCCGACCACTGGACTAGCACACATTACCCTGCTTTCAGCTCACGGGGTTGATGGCAAGTTGGTGTTCTACCAGGCAGGGGCGACAAAGTTTGCTCAGACAAAAGGGAGGTGTCTGAAACAACCATGGCATCTGAAGGAGGCTGCCCAGGAAGACCTCACAGACAAAGGGGGTGGGTTGGGGTGTGTGTGTGGGGTAAGAAATCTTTGCCCTTCAATGCGCAGTTTTTGGTAGATTTCCTTCTTTGGTTAAAAGTGTAGCTTCCTTCAGCTATGTTTTTGAAATACCTATATCCCTGGAAGGGATTACACATTAAACTAGTAACCGGCATTGGGCTGACTTTATTAGGTCCTGGCCTCCAGGAAACGGGGACTTTTGGGAAGGCTGGTTCTGGAACACAGGAAAAGGGTGTGAAACCCTAAGAATGTGACTAGGTGGTGGGGGTTCAAGGGGGACCCTCAGGTTAACTCCAGCTACCTCACCTCCTCCTCACCCCTTCCCTTTCCTGCCCTGAGGTTCTGTCTCTTAACCTGGTCCCCTGGCTCCGCCTCTGCTAACAGGCGTGGCCTCTGCTCTATTAATCGGGTTCAGGTCAAGAAGTGGGGGCTCCCTAAGGTTCTCCTTCCAGCCCAGGTCACCCCAAAGAGCGCCAAGGAGCGGCACTCTTTAGACTGGCTTCAGGCTGGCGGGGACCCCGGCGCGGGTCTCGGGGGGGGGGGGGGGGGGGAGGCCCTGGGCCCCAACTCACCTTTCCGGTCCGCGGTGCCCTGAGCCCTCCTTCCTGTAGGGCGGCGACTCCGGGGTTTCCCAGGGCGCGGGCCAGGGGGGCGGGGCCGCGTCCCAGGTGGGCCTCCGGGCTCCGTTCCTCGTCCGGCTCTGGCGGGGTTTCTCCAAAACTCTTTGCTCCCCATGGCGGTAGTCCCCGGCCCTGCGTCTGTCCTGGTGGGGATCCCGCTCCCGCTCCCGCTCCCGCTCCCGGTCCCTCCGCTCGCCGCCCCTCTTCTCCCGGCGCCGGTCCCCCGCTCCGTCCCGCGGCCGCTCGGGGTGCCGGTCCTGCTGTCGCTCGGGGCGCCGGTCTCGGTCTGGGCGCGGGGGCCTGTTTGGGTCTCTCGGCCGCGTCCTGGGCTCGCGAGTCCCCGACGGATCTTCCATCGCGTCCCGCCCCGGAACGACCCGACAGCGACAACCCGCACAGGTTCCCCGGCAGGTGGCCGGGGCGGGGCTTGGCGGGAGGGCGGGCGCGGGGGCGCGATGGGCGGGGCCTGACTGGAGAACGGGGCCAGACGGGAGGGCGGGGCCTGGAGGGAGGGCGGGGCTTGGCGGGAGGGCGGGGTGGGCGCGGGGCGCGATGGGCGGGGCCTGACTGGAGAACGGGGCCTGACTGGAGAACGGGGCCTGACGGGAGGGCGGGGCCAGACGGGAGGGCGGGGCCTGGCGGGAGGGCGGGGCGGGCGCTCACCTGCACGCACACGCCCCGGCCGCGCCGCGGGCCCGGAGGGCGGCCCCTGCGCGCGCCGCCGGCAGGAGGCGCTGCTGGGCGCGGCCGGGCGCCCGCCGCAGAGAGCTGGCTGGAAGCCTGAGGACCTCTCCGCCGGACACCCCGGGAGCCCCGAGGTACCCCTCCGGGAGCCCACCCGTGCGCGGCCCAGGGAGGGAGCTCTCTCTCCAGGCGCCCTCCCCTCAGGTCACTTCCCCAGAGGGTGCCCACCGCTGGCGCACAAGCGCCCGCTGAGCCGCGCTGCCAGCCCTGAGCCAGCTGTGCCTCCCTCCCTCCTGCTCTCCTAGGAGACAGCTGTGCTGTAGGGGAGCTGAGGCCAGGTCATACTCGTATATTGCAATAGCCCCTGACAAATGTTTTTTGTTTTTTTAAAATATCTTATTGATTTTTCACAGAAAGGAAGGGAGAGGGATAGAGAGTTAAAAACATCCACCAGCTGCCTCCTGCACACCCTCCACTGGGGATATGCCCGCAACCAAGGTACATGCCCTTGACCGGAATCAAACCCAGGACCCTTCAGTCTGCAGGCCAAGGCTCTATCCACTGAGCCAAACCGGTTTCAGCCTCCTGATAAGTGTTTTATAATAAAAATGACGAACCAGCCCTGGCTGGTTTGGCTCAGTGGATAGAGCTTCGACCTGTGCATTGAAGGCTCCCACGTGTCGCCCTCATCGGCAAGGGCTAAGATGCCTGGCCGCTGTATCCATATCCCAGCCCACAGGAAGGGGGAAATGGGGGCCAGGAATGGTTCTCTCTATTCCTTTAAGAGTGAGACCCGGCCCCGCCTCCGTCCCTCACCTGGATCCTGCAGGAGGTGGGTGCCCCCATCGGCACACTGTCCTCTGGCCGCGGAACACCATGCCTCCCAAGAAGGATGTTCCCGTGAAGAAACTGGCGGGACCCCCTCTCGCCAAGACTGCTCCCAAGCCGGCAGCGGGGGCTCCCCCAGCCAAGTCCAAGGCTGAGCCAGCGGCAGCGGCCCCTTCAGGCCCTGAGAAAACCTGAGAGCCCCCCATGAATCTCTCCAAAGTGGTGGTCCAGTTTAACAAGGACCAGCTGGAGGAGTTCAAGGAGGCCTTTGAGTTGTTTGACCGAGTCGGGGATGGCAAGATCCTGTACAGCCAGTGTGGAGACTTGATGAGGGCCCTAGGCCACAACCCCACCAACGCCGAGGTCCTCAAGATTCTGGGGAACCCCAAGAGCGATGAGCTGAAGTCCCGGCGTGTGGACTTCGAGATCTTCCTGCCCATGCTCCAGGCCGTGTCCAAGAACCAGGACCAAGGCACCTACGAAGACTACCTGGAGGGGCTCCGCCTGTTTGACAAAGAAGGGAAAGGCAAGGTCATGGGAGCGGAGCTCAGGCATGTCCTCCCCACCCTGGGAGAGAAGATGACTGAAGAGGAGATGGAGACAGTTCTAGCAGGACATGAGGACAGCGATGGCTGCATCAACTATGAAGCCTTCCTGAAGCACATCCTCAGCGTGTGAGCTCCAGATGCCGTGGGGTCGGACACCGGTCCTCCCGCAGGCGGAAGCATGTTCCTACCACTAGGAGGCCACCTATTGTTTCAAAATAAAGACACGGTTCCTCCCTTAAAAAAAAAAAAAAGAGTGAGACCCACAAGTTACAGACATAGTTTGTGCTCACAGTATGTTGGCCAGAAGATAGTCACAGGACCATAGGTAACTGCATAGGAAGCTTGGAAGTGTAGCCATGTACCCAGCTAAAAACTGGAGGGGGGTTATGATAGGAGAGTGAGGGGGAGAGTGGACGGTGGGGGACAATCTGGAGTCTGTCACATGTTATCACCACACAGAACTTTCCTTTTCTGAATTTTTGAGCACCGTGTTTCCATGGTGTCAGTACTCTCTCCATGTCCAATTTCCAGTGACTAATGGTTTAACAACTGGCTCACAAAATTCCTGAAAAGTGAATAATTGCCTCTCAGTAGCTGGTGTGAGCTGGTTCCTGCACACCTCTGCCTGCATTCCCACACCTGCTCTTTGACATCACTGGGACTCTGTGGGCCTTACGTTTTTGTCCCCTTTCATATATATATATATATATATATATATATATATATATATATATATATATAATTTTTATTATATATATATAATTTTTTAAAATTTGATTTCATAGATGGAGAGATATATAGAAACATCAGTGATAAGAGAGAATCATTGATCGGCTGCCTCCTTAACGCCCTCTACTGGTTCATAGGTCGATGCTCAACCGCTAAGCCACATCGGCCAGGCATAATATATGTAATAAAAAAAAAATCCTCACCAGAGGATATGTTTTCATTTATTCTAGAGAAAGGAAGAGAGAGATAGAGATAGAGATAGAGATAGAGATAGAGATAGAGATAGAGAGAGAGAGAGAGAGAGAGAGAGAGAGAGAGAGACACACTTTGGTCCATCTGCCTCCTGTATGTACCCTGACTGGACTTTGAACCTGTGACCATTCAGTGCATAGGATGATGTGCTAACCAACTGAGCCACTGGCCATGGACTAATATTTGTAATTTTTAATAAGTCAATCTATGCAAGTACGGAAGGAGCAATTAAACAAATCAGTAAGGCAGTTGTGAGTTAGCCCAATGAAAATCAGATGGGTTTATTGGGTTTATTTAATTTTAGTTTCTGTTCTTTTACTTCAGTATTTGTGGATGAGGTTAGGAGCCAATGTCCTAGCCTCTCTTTTGCCTTAGTTAATAATGTAATGTTTTTGTTTGGCCCTGGCCGGTGTCGGTCAGTGGTTGGAGCATTGGCCAATTCCCAGCCCAGTTGGGGTTCGTACAGGAGGAAACCAATCAATAAGTCTCTCTCACATTGATGTTTCTCTCTCTCTTTCTTTCTCTTTGCCCTTCCCTCCCTTCCTTTCCCTCTCTCTAAAAACAAACAAAAATCAGTGGAAAAAATATCCTCAAGTGAAGATTAACAACAAAATAACTACATTAAATTTTTTTTTCTTTATTAATTAAGGTATCACACATTTGTCCTCAACCCCCATTCCAATACCCCATCCTCCCCCCACTCATGCCCCCCCCCCCCCATTGACCACTGGTTAGGCTCATATGTATGCACATAAGTCCTTTGGTTGATCTCTCCCTTTTATCCCCACCCTCCCTTTGAGGTCCAACAGTCTGACCCATGGCTCCTTATCTCTGGGTCTGTTCTTGTTCAAGAAGTCTGTGTTGTTCACCATTTCCCTTAGATGCATGAGATCATGTCCTACTGGAAATACACTTATAAGAATAAAAAATGAGACAAGCAATCATGGGTATGCTGAAAGGCATAAGAATCAGTCTGCACTGAATTTCTTTCTGGGCCACCAGTTCTTTGGAGATCCAATTTCAATGTCAAACAGTTCCTTATGTGCGCATGTCAGCCATGATATTTCAGTTATGGATGGTGCCCAAATGGTGGTGATGCAGGTCCAACCCTCTCTGGAACTTGGAACTACATTTTTTTTTTTTTTTTTTTTATCGTTCCACTGTTTTTCCAGGAGCCCTTGGACAGACACGATGCATCTGTGGAAGGTCCCAGGGGCAGGAGCCCTTTCCTGAGGAAACGCCAGTGTTCCACCAATGCAAAGAGCACACACCATGGCAGACGGCCCGCGTCGAGCAAAGGAAAATACTTGCCAAGCTGCATCCAAGCTCATTTTCCAAAACAGGTAAAATCACGGACACGTGCTAAAGATTTCCTTAAACTCAAAAGCCCCTGAGAGAATCGGGCAGATGTTATACAACAGGTTCAGGAGAGAATCTTAAGGACAGCTGGGAAGCCACGGCCGGCCAGTATGGCCTTGGGTTCAAAGGCTTGGAGAAAAAACTGCTGTGCAGATGGATACACAAGACAGGAAATATAAATTTGGAAATGATGGGGGAAGCCGGGGAACACTTAGCTGTAGTAGCCACGTTCCACCAAGTCTGGTTCCCATCTGCTTTTATTTACTAGAATGCACTATTATTGCCTTTTAGGAATGCAAACAGACATATCAATGGTCAAGTACACAGTAAGATTATCAGGTTGGGGGAGTTTGCTCTAGGGCCTAGAGCAAACTAGAGTCTAGGCCATTGAGTCAGCAGGAGGTAATAAAATGCAAATAGTCACCCTGTGACTATTCAAAGAGCCCAATTCAGCCTTCTGATGAGACTTTTCTCTCGCATTGATGTTAATTACCATGGATCTTGGTTCTCAGCAGACAGGCCTGTTGTAGATCAGGAATGATGAGATGAAGGCAAAACTGATTTATCCCAAAGGGGGAAAGCAGCATCAGTCGGACCTCTACCCGACAGGATCAGCTCTGCATGTGGATGTTGTCAGCCATCCCTATCAGGGAGGGGGGCCTTCAGGTGTGTGGGACAAACAAGAACTTTTTTTTTTTTTTTTTTTTTTGCATTGCTCTTAATTACCTATAATTTACAGAGTTGTAAAATAAAATAGCATAGTTTTCTACTAAAAGCCCAAATGGAAAGACATTGCCTTTGCTTAAGATGGCAAAGTAGGATTCTACATGGTCTCAGAGACTTTGGGGCTTGGGGAAAGGTAGCCAGAGAGTAACCCCTAGGAGAAATGATACCCACTTGAGGGTCTGACCTGGCAGGCTTGGAATGGAGTTTGGGAATCTGTGTTTTTCAGTAGTTCCATGAGGCACCCAATGTGAGAACCAGTCTGTTAATATAAGTACCATTCAATTTTCCCTCCTAA